GGGATCCAACACTAGGAAACAACGAAATGGAAGGATTCGTGCAATGAGGACGTCAGGAAATGCATCGCCACAAAATTTATACTGTTTTCAATATGATTCTACAATAGCAACAGTTTGTGTTATAAGCAATAATATACCTGGAGAATATTAATATTAATATTTCATTCAAAACACAATAATATTTATTTATGTAATATATTCCGTATTTAGGGAAGGAAGCAGTATTGCAATTATTTTCATTTCGTATACTCTACTGTGTGTAGAAATTAATTCTGTGCTTTTGTGAAGGAAACCATTTATTTATACAGAACCAATACCTCCTTGTTCGGTTTACTTCACATTGCAATTACAACTGGATCAGTGAGAATGGAAATGAACATGTAAATCGTTGCTGATACCTCTTTCCTTTCCATTAAAAATAATAAAACGTTAGCTCTTAGAGAGAAACGAGAAGCTTTACGCGCTAAACGAAGGAAATCGAACTGTTTTTGTCCTGTTTTTCATTTAGAATTCTTCTTCGTCGTCATAATTTCGGTAGATGCTCATGTCACAAGAAAAAATGTGCAGACTTGGCGCACACGCAAGAGTTGGACAGATTGAAAATCTAACTAACTAAACTAACAGTTCATGTTAAATTCTAATTTTAACTATGGTTTTTATAATAAAGAAACAAAAGACTGTCTCGATGAGCATTCGGCGTACAGAACATGAAGGAATGGGTTATCTGATAGGTTGATGTAGTCTGACAGCAAATACACTGGTGCTGCAATCTAACCTTCGGATCTCGATGGACTTTTAAATTATTCGGTTGATTCCTATCCGGTGGACGTTTTAAACAACCCACCCTGGAAATCGGTATTTCAGCGAGTCGATGAAAGATTAAATGATGGGTGTCCAAAATTCGAAAAGGTGGGTGAAAGAACTGAAATCGCACTTATTATAGGTTGAAATTATAAGGTTTTGTAAAAAATTATTAAGGAAAGTATTATTAAGTCGTAATAGTTTATCTGTAGAAAAAAAATTCAAGGCACGTTGCATTGTCACAATTTGATGAATTGAATTTCACAAGAGTTTAAGGTAGACCGAGTAGAGATATTAGGAGTAGGGTTTAAATTAGAAAAATGGTTAAATAATATTACGAAATTTCATTATCGTATTTTATTACTTTTTATTTAAAGAAGACTGTACACAAATGTATACAGTAGAATATGGTTCCATAACAATATTCAATATGTCACTTCAACAGTATCTCTGTAGGAGACTTCAGATTCCATGGATTGCATCTGTTAAAGAAGAAAATTACTATTAGGTGATGCATTTCGAAATCATTGTAACGAGTTTCTCAACTACCATAATCCAAATCGGTTAGACATACCTGTTTCCTCCTACTGCATGTCAGCGATCTGTGTCTGGTAGAAATTTCCCATCGGGTTGGACCTCATCCCCATGAAGTGCAGGTGACTGGGTAGCATATGGTTAGCCCTCACAGCAGTCATTGCCTGTTGCTTGCAGGTGCACTGAGAGGCATGAGACGACGGACCTTGTTGAGAATGATGAGGGCAATGATGGATCTTGACCATTGTTGGTTCAGACATCACGACCAAAGGCTTCGGCCGGACAACGACCATCTCGTCGTTGCAGGGTGGCTCGACGTAGTCAGACAATGGTTCTCGAGGTACGGGTGGTTGGGTGGTGACAACCTTTGGAATTTCAATTCGTTCTGGAACTTTAGGTGGTTCTGATTCTTCTTGGGGCTTGCTGTCGATGATTTTCACGGTGGCTTGCGGGGCGCAAGGCTGGGGTTGCTGAACGATCTGCAAGGTGTTTACAGATGGAACCACCTGCTGAGGAATCACGTAGGACTGTTGCGAAATTAGTTGAGGTCCTGGAATCACGCTCATAGCCTGCATAGACTGCGGAGCCGATTGAAAGTTGAGAGTCTGAACTTGAGGTGCCAGTTGAGTTTGCTGACTGCAGGGCTCTTGTTCGCCAGTACGGATGTCTAGACAGAGGGTGGCCTTCTTCTCCCTGTCCATGTCGTCGCCAACTTCTTCCAGGTTTATTTCTTCCTGGTCCACGTCAGAAAGCGACTTCTTCTCTATTCTTGACGCTGGTATGGCCTGCGCCATAACCACACCTAGCAATAGAAGAGCGAATGAAGCTTTCATCTTGCGATATTGAAACTTTGCGTTCAACTGACGATTCTCCAGACTGAACTGACTTTTAAAAGGAGTTCGAACACACTTCCTGATCCCTGTAGATTGTCGAAATACCAACGCATGTCAAAACATTTAGCATCGCTGACCGTGCAACATTACGACACTGTTAAGGTCAATTGCTGATCGGTACATGTGTCAATCGTATATTATCGTGCGTGGAATTTTTTACTTTATTAAGTTAGTCGCATTTTTGTGTATTCGAACGTATAAACATATTTGAAATTCAACGCAAATGTGAAGAATCTACACTGTACGATAATAAAACAGCTTCGAGCAGGACTATGGGTTATTGTGGACGAATGTAAAAAATTTTAAAAGTTCAATATCTAACATATATGCCGAAATTATAACAAACAATGAAATTTGCACAAAATTAATTGACCTCAACGGTGTCGCAATTTTACACGGTCAGCGATGCTATATGTTTTGACATGCGTTGGTATTTCGACAATCCACAGACGTCAGGAAGTGTGTTCGAGCTCCTTTAAAAGTCAGCCCAGTTCGGAGAATCGTCAGTTGAACGCAAAGTTTCAATATCACAAGATGAAAGCCTCGTTCGCCCTTCTGCTGCTAAGTGTGGCTATGGCGCTTGCCATACCAGTGGCAAATATAGAGAAGAAGTCGCTTTCTGACGTGGACCAGGAAGAAATAAACCTGGAAGAAGTTGGCGACGACACGGATAGGGAGAAGAAGGCCATCCTCTGCCTAGACATCCGTACTGGCGAACAAGGACCCTGCGATCAGCAGTCTCAACCGGCACCTCAAGTTCAGACCTTCAACTTCCAATCGGCTCCGCAGCCTATGCAGGCTATGAGCGTGATCCCAGGACCTCAACTAATTTCACAGCAGTCCTACGTGATTCCTCAGCAGGTGGTTCCATCTGTAAACACCTTGCAGATCGTCCAGCAACCCCAGCCTTGCGCCCCGCAAGCCACCGTGAAAATTATCGATAGCAAGCCCCAAGAAGAACCAGAACCACCTAAAGTTCCAGAACGAATTGAAATTCCAAAGGTTGATGTTATCACCCAACCACCCGTACCTCGAGAACTGCCCGACTACGTCGAGCCACCCTGCAACGACGAGATGGTTGTTGTCCCATCGAAGCCTTTGGTCGTGATGCCTGAACCAACAATGGTCAAGATTCATCATTGCCCTCATCATTCTCAACAAGATCCGTCGTCTCATGCCTCTCAGTGCACCTGCAAGCAACAGGCAATGACTGCTGTGAGGGCTGGCCATATGCTACCCAGTCACCTGCACTTCATGGCGATGAGGTCCAACCCGATGGGAAATTTCTACGAGACACAGATCGCTGACATGCAGTAGGAGGAAACAGGTATGTCTAACCGATTTGGATTACGGTAGTTGAGAAACTCGTTACAATGATTTCGAAATGCATCACCTAATAGTAATTTTCTTCTTTAACAGATGCAATCCATGGAATCTGAGGGCTTCTGCATAGAACCATATTCTACTGTATATATTTGTGTAGAGTCTTATTAAAATAAAAAGTAATGCAATAATGAAATTTCGTAATATTATTTAATCAGAAAATCCTACTCCTAATATCTCAAGGTAGTCTACATTGTACTGTGAAATGCAATTCACCAAATTATGATAATCCAACGTATTCTGAACTTTTTATTATAGAGAAAGTATTATGACTCAATTTTAGTTTCCTTAATAAGTTTTTTAAAATTCTTAGAAGCTCGATCCAGTCCTCATTCGTCAGGAGGCTTCATTCGTCGACTCTGTTCAAACAAATGAAGTTTACTATAAAAGAGTGATACTTCTTTTATAATAAGGTAGAATAATGTTTAATATTAATTATAGTTATATTCGTGCAAACAGAAAATGGTTGTAAATAATAGTTTAGTTTCCTAATGTTAAATATCCCTTAGAAAGGCACATTAATTTTTACTCCCAATATTTTTCATAAATTTCACTCAAGGTTTTCCTTTCCCTAAGACTAAATGACGCCCGTTAGATGCAAGCTTCACCCTAAACTGTTTTGTTATTCTCTGCAGCGATCGTTCCCCTCCTCCTCGCGATACCCGAATTATTTCCCCACTTACGAACTGGAAAGTAACAATAACTCTTAATCTCCAGCTCATCCTTTCCCTGCTCCCACGAAACGGCTGGGAATTCCCTTTATCTTCTCCGCTTCGATTAGAACCTCTGTACAACAGCTGCAGCAGAAGCACGTGCGGGACCGTTTGTATTACGGACAGCCTCGTATCGCCTAGCACTTTACGCTGTATGGGGTTTCGAATGATTGATCTGATAAGGAGGTTTCTCTGAAAAGAGTTGGAAAGATCGAAACGGTTCATCTGCACCGTAGTCCCGTACTATCGCTCTAGGAAAATATCATCTGGGAAACTGAGCAGCCCGGAAATTGTGTTATTTTACCGACTGGCTTAATTCAGTGCAATATAATTCAGTACTCGGTACGATAGTTGGAGAATAGAGTAATTTTATGACAGGTCTCAACTCTATGCCAGGAAATACCGTTATTTTATTAACTCGCAATAACACAGTAACAATAACCGTTCGATCTCAATGAAAAATATTTTCGCGAATGCTGAATCGTCTCGATGAAAACAAAAGAAAGAAAAACTTTATAAATAAAGAAATGCTTGTTTCTGAGACTGGAACTCTCTGGTCTTTATTTTCTCCATACTTTCAAGCATTTTTATTTATTTCATTTTAAACTGAATAATCGCAACGCTACAGGATGAGATAAAATGGAATGAGATAGATGAGAAATTTTCCACACTCGTAACCACTTTTATTATTTTCTTTATTTTCCTAATAGTTCCCTAGATGTCTCCAAGAGTAAGACAGCAAGTCATCGTTTCCACCTTTTTAAGGTAGCATCAAAGGTCCCACTGTCATCGCATCCACCTCGATATACTGGGGTTGGGTACTAGGTTCCGTAGATTCCAACGACCCAAGTTCAGTTGAAGACTCCGCCCAAGCCGTGTTCTTTGGCTCCTCAGATTCGTCCGCATTCTTTCCACGAATGCTTCCACCCTCAGCGTCCCTCTTCCCCTTGAACTCCGGCCTTTGGTCTTCCTGAGAATCCAAACCACTCTTTCTCTGATCCTCCATCTCTTTAACAACCTCATCCTTGTTGTCTTCACCCTCGATAGCCATAAGCGTTCTGTTTTCAGACCCCTGCCCCCCCAGATCCTGCCAGGCACCGCCACTGCCAATCACGACTCCATTTTTAGCCACACTCTGCATCATCTTCAAAAGGTTCAGGTCTGGTCGTATGTTGTAAGGACTATACTTTATCTCTGGCTGGTAAACCAAGCTGGATTCTCTGGGCTGATCTCTTCTGGGTTGTGGGAATCCGTCAAACCCCTCCTCTCTTGGTCCAGCTGCAGAGTTTCCAGAGATCCTATGAGGAATCTGCCACCTAGGAAACTGTTCTGGTCCAGTGGTGGGATTCTCTTCCTCCATGGAGTCGTCGTTGTACCTGTCAGCCCTATAGACCACGTGTATCTTCTTTTGAGGGTCTCCAAAGGGTCTCAAAGGCCTATCCCAAGAAGGATAGGACGACCTGGGGACGTCTTCCATGTAGGGTTCATCGTCAGGGGAGTAATAATCAGAGTATCGGTTGTTTATTCCCATGGACTGAGGTCTGATCACGTCGTAGGAGTTAGGTTTTCGGTAGGGAGACCTGTCCAGGTGTTTGAAAAGTGGGAGACGAGGTTGGTAGGGATTCACAGGTTCGCCTGAGTTCTGAACAGGGGCGGACGGTGCAGAAGCAACGTCAGAATCGAATTCCCTCTGGAAGCTGAAGGGGTTTTCGCGTCTACGGGGATACTCGGGTGTTCCTCTGCTTCCAGAGGCCCTGTTGTAGGAACCATAAGGCGCGGGATCGAAGGACGACGAGGGTTGGAATGGTTGGAAGGACTCTGTGTTGCGGTACTCCCTTCTGGATGGTGGCATGTACCTAGAGGAAATATTAATATCTTTGTTAATTTAGTTTCTAACATTCTTAGAAGAACAGTTCACCTCCTTCAGGGATTGTAAACACTTGGACACTCTGACGAAGGACTCAATTTTAAGACTTGTGTATTTTGATCTCATCTTATTTTATCAGAATCTTATTTAATCTGAACAATTATGGTCCACAGTGTCTTCTAATTAATAAATGCCTAACTTCTCACCAAGATACCAGAGCGTCTGGGCAATCTCGACTACACGAGGGACAGGAAGCATGCCTGGGTGTCCTTGGTTGCTGATTCTGTGGGTAATTCCAAAACGATCCAGAAACCAGGATCACGTCCACAATCAGGCAGAGTAGGACACGTTCGCCAATGATTCGTTGGAACATGCTATCAGATTATTAAGCCAACGTTCATTAACAGCTCTTTATATATGCCAAAGATGAGACGAGGACAGCCGTGTTAGTTTTGGTAGATTTTTTTTCCGTCCTTCGTTGCATCATAATCGCACGCGCCAAAGAGAAAATTGAGATGATTCAGTGGTTTATTTGTTTGTATTTTAATCACATCCGGAAGGATTTGCCACTGGCCTTGATCCACTTATGGTTATTTAGCTGAAGAAAGCTAAAGTTGTTGAGATCAAAATGCAAGAGGAATTGCAAATAACTTGTTTCGTTTCTTCGTATAAGTCACGTACAGATTTCTGAATGGTTAATTCTGATGAGGAATTTATAAGCCTGTTCGTAATTAAGCTTTATGCGTAGACCCTGAACGCTTGGTACATTAAATGTTAACACGTATGTTTTCTACAATTCTTTTTAATTTTTTCAAAATTTACTCACATTTATTTATAAAATTCAGGCATGATACAGACGACGACATAATTTCCAAGAAATCGCTGCAGGCAGTGAAGCAAATTATAAATTTCCTGAAAGAACGTACGTAAAAGAATTTCAAACATGCGCCGAGTAAATAATTAAAATATGACAAACACCGACAGTGTTGAAATTAATATCCTTCATGAAATATTCATTTGGTGATATCAAATTCGCATTCACAATTTATTATTTAAACATTTGATGTAAATGAATAATTGAATAATAAACAGATCTTTCGATATGTATAAATACAAACATTGCATTTAAATTTTATATTTTTCACCAATTATATTTCTCATTTAGATGCTAGGGAGGAAGGTTTGTTTCGGCGTGCTGGACGCAGTGACCTCAGAAGACGAATCCTGAATTCATTGAAGAAAGGTGAGAGACCACATCTGGACGACAACAACGTGGCCCTTGAATGTGCGGCAGCGTTGCAGCTCTTCTTGGGTCACCTAAAAAAACCTGTGATGCCTCGACACGTCCAGCAGCTTCTTCTGGGTAATTAAAAGACCTAATCCTGACTAATTGATTTTTAAATTGTAATGAACACTTGCAAGAATTTATTAATATTTTTAAATTCATATCACTGCCAACGTAGGAGATAAACAAAATGAGAGAAGCTTTGTCCAGAGTGACAGCGTTGAGCAACAATTATGCTCGTTACCTAACCGCAACTGTTTACAAGTTTACAAACCGTACGCGCTCGCATTTCTGAGTCGACACGCGCCTCGATACCTAAACTCGTTTCGGCATGATATTTTATACCGAAGGAAAACCCGCGTCAGCATGGTCGTAATTGAAACCAGTGTTAGTTAACGTTATGCGACAAAGCGGAAACATAACGGTTGCGACAAGTTCATTAAAAAACTTCTTAAGTTTCACAAGAGTTTTTGTCAAATTAAAAATCTTATTTTTATAGTCAATAGTAAAAAGTAAATATATATAAATATATAATTATAATAATAATTATATAATATAATAAATATTATTATTATTATTATTATTATTATAAAATAAATATATAAATAGTCAATATTAAAAAAGGTGTACAAGAAAAACTGATTGAAGGTTGGACATTGATTACTCTCCTCTATACTTAAACCTTATATTTACGATATGTATTATTCAGTTCTTGCTAAACGTGGTGAAACCAAACGAATGAACCAGTAACATGCAAAACTACTCTCAGGTGCAAAAACACTCGTTGTTAGTCTTTCGCATTCCTATATCAAGGGATCATCTACTGGCAACACGCAAAGATCTAATCGTAGATAACCAAACACTCTTAGATCCCATGATTACAGTGAATTCTAATGCCTGCTGGCACCACCCCCTCCCTTTCTTAAGGGAGGTAAGAACCAGGTGATATGGTATGGTAATTTTTGCATCGATCAGCTGACAATCCTGGCGTGACCGCCCACGTGATCGCGAGGGATGCCTGGGGTTTAATACGACAGGACGTCGGTGGTCGTCACGGAGAACTTCTGGCACGACTTCTTGATCTACTGAGGCACTTGACCCTCTCCGGTCCTCCGTCGGAGAGGACGGAACTACGTGGTTCGCCACTTCCCATCGCGCTGCTTCCAGTCTTTTTCACTTTAACGGTAAACCCCTAACTGGACTCAACTTGGATAGAAATGATCCTTCACTCGCGGAGATTAGACTGTTTTAGAACGCTACCAGTCATTAATTTGAATGCACTACCACACCCGTAACTCTCTGAACGATAGTGAACATAGTACACTCCTTATATTTGTCCTAAATACAGAATACTTATTATGAAAAACAAAAACCATACATACGCGAAACCTAATTCTAATCGGATGGGCCACAGATGGATCGTCCATCCACGAGCCATGTGTTTGCCATATCCGGTCTAATTCGAACCAATGCGAAACTCTCACGGTTAAAATATGGAAATACTAGTTCCTGTAACTGATTGATTCGGTAACCATTTCAGCCAGCTGACTTGGTAAAATGGAAGCAAGTAGCCGCCAGATTCAGCGAATTAATTACCGAAGCCTCTGTGCAACTGCAATTGAATGAAAATCGATCCCATGGCGTAGAATCCATGGGTGGTTCTAGTGGAAACAGCGTTGGTAGCATAAGAAACCAAGCCACCGTTACAGTCTGAGGAACAAGATTAATTTAAGGACAATCGTATGACAATGATGAAAGAAAACTACAATAAACAATTGGTTTATTCGTTGCTTCAACCATTATTTATGTTTTCAGGAATGAACATTTATAAATAAATGTGCGCGAAACTTTCTAAGAAACGTGGAACTAAATAATGCGTTCAAGCTCTTTAAAACCTGTGCATATTGTCATGTATTAGGTGTAGAAATTTATACTTATATTATATATTTAAACTTCTAGTCAGTCTTATTAGTTATGTAACGGTAAGTCTATGATAGAAACAAGTGAAGCAGAAAGTGTCTCGCGAAATAGAGACACCAAATAATTGTCCCCTTCGCGGAATAGAAAAGCAGGGTCTTTGGATATTTGAATTTTAATTTGAAATTTATTCAGACGCCCATTTGGATTTTAGGTCAGGTCAAATAGTTCAAGATTTACAATTCAAATCGATAGTGCCAGTATTAACTGAGATTAGTTCCAATGTACGAGATGTCCTGAAATGTAACAAGCTATCTTCTCAGAGAGCAATGAAGATACCGTCTTTAGTTTTGCTGTAGTTAAATGACACAAGAAGATTAATGTTTCAGCACCGTAAAACTATATTTTAGATTTTATATTAGGAAGAAAAAAGAGGCCTCCTACATCACAGTATACTTTTACAAAATTTACGTAATCTATATTATTGCAATCATTGTGATATTAAAATTAATCTGGGAAAACTGTATTCGAGTTTTTATCAAAATAACTTTTCGTTAAACTCGGCTTCAAATCTGGCGCCATTGGTAAGTTTTAGTGGCGCCATCGGTGGGAAAACGCCCAAGTTTGTAGGGAAAATAGTTCCCATCATTTCTTTAAGATGGCACCACAAATGTCTTTTAATGAATAACACTTTATTTTTCATAAATTCATACTTGATACGATTCTTAACTTCACAACACTGCAATATATTAGTTAATATGTGAAATTTATGATGTATATGAATAGTTAATTAATGCAGCAGTATTTATCGACCCCCTCAGATAGTAGCGCTATCGGTGGGAAAACGCCCAAGTTTGTAGTGAAAATAGTTCTTGCCGTTTCTTCGAGATGGCGCCACAAATATCACTTATATGGGGAATCGCTACCGCGGCCGCTCCAACGGTCTACGCGCGCTCTGATTGGTCGGGGTTTTCGCTTAATATCTCCTTAACGAAGCTCCATCCGACATTTTTGCAAAGGAAATTGTTGTTCAGAATCGTCTCAGCTACCCCCCATTTCCGGCTCCTCCCCGAGTTTTGGAACACCCTGTATAATATGGGTAAACCTTCCCCATATAAGTGATATTTGTGGCGCCATCTCGAAGAAACGGCAAGAACTATTTTCACTACAAACTTGGGCGTTTTCCCACCGATAGCGCTACTATCTGAGGGGGTCGATAAATACTGCTGCAATTATTAACTATTCATATAAATCATAAATTTCACATATTAACTAATATATTGCAGTGTTGTGAAGTTAAGAATCGTATCAAGTATGAATTTATGAAAAATAAAGTGTTATTCATTAAAAACATTTGTGGTGCCATCTTAAAGAAATGATGGGAACTATTTTTCCTACAAACTTGGGCGTTTTCCCACCGATGGAGCCACTGCACTTTGGCGCCCCCTCCCCGTCTACCGCCTCGCCGTTCGTCCTTAAAAACTTAAATTAAAATTAAAATTAAAATATAGAATGTATCTTTATATATATAATTTCACGAAGGACTGTTATTTTTTTCATTTCATACATATACTTTATTTTATTTTACTTTGAATCAAATGAATGTAATTAAATATCTCTCGAAATTATACGCTTTCTCTCTTTTTTCTATTTTCCACGATGAATAAGTAAAGATAAATAATTTGCAGGTAAAGAATCATGCACAGTATTGTCCAAAACTTGGCATGTCGCCAAAAGCGCCTACCATCACCATTTTTTTGAAGCCTGATACACCAATTACCTGTCTAAAAGACTGAGGCGTCTCGCAGGCTCGGAACGCAACACGATTCGATCCCCCCTCATTAAAAACAGGAGAAAAAACGAAAAACCGCGTAACCACTTCTGGTCCTTGCCTGGTGTGAGCCTGCATCGTGGAGCGACTTTGACCCCCGAGTGGTGGGGATAGAAAAGGGGCTGGTGTTCTCAAGCGAGAGAGAAACAAGAGAGTGGGTGGAAAAAAGTGTGGGAGAGAGGAAGCGAGAGCAGAATCGCAGAATGTTAAAGGGTGATGCCGTCGGAGGTAGTGGAAAAAGGAAAATGAGAGGAGGAAGTGAGAGCAGAATCGGGAAAAGTTGAACAGGGATAGCATTAGAGGGTGTAGGAGAGGGATAGTGGGAGTTGAATGGTAGAAGGTTGGACGAAGATGAGTTTATGGATGTGGGAGGGAGATAGCTTCACAGTCTGTAGGAGAGAGTGGTTTTGGATAAAATCGAGAAAGAAGCGTCGAAAGAGACAGTATATACAAGCGTGTGAGAGGAGGGAGAGCCTGAAAGTCAGTAGGGGGAATCTCAGTGGAGCCGTGTGAGTCACGGTAGAGCGAGAAAGATACTAGATATCGCAGGGTAAATAGAGAGTGATAGCAAGTGACACGCGTGCGAAAAACAGTGGTGTCATTAGTGTTGGTATCACCCAAGGACGATAAACGGAGGGAACCCCTTGTACCGTTTCGGGATTTCCCATACCTTCCACTAAGGAATTTACAAAATCTTTAATGTTTTCTCTCCCAATATTTATTTGTAAATCGTAATTTCCGTAACTTAGTGAATGTACTGATGCAAACAATTAAGCAAACTAAAGTTACAGCTCGAAATTAAAACACCTTTCGCTTAAATGTAGGATTGCGCTGTTTTGTGTGGTTGAAGCAGTGTTTAAGGACGCGAAAATTTGATAGGATTATGACGTTAAAAATTTCATATATTAATTTTCCAGTGGCGCCCCTTTTTTGGGAGACTCCCACTGGGCGGCCCCCCTGTGGACTCGAAGCGTCCCCGCGCCCCTATGGCGACGCCACTGCGCGTTGGTTGTCGGTCTGTGGGAGAGAGGGGGCACTGTTAAGGCAGAGAAAGAGGAAGTCGTAGTAGAGGGAGCGCGCGAGACGGAACAGCAAGGGAACGCGAGTTGAGGCTGAAACTGGCGCTCGGAGGGGAGGGGAAAAAGCACCGGGGCTTTTGAAAAAGTTTTATCTTGCCTTTCAGACGCTACCGAACGCCGGTACGCTCTTGTACGGTGCCGCGTGTTCTCTGGTGTCTCATGCGAGCCAGTTCTTCAACATAAGATCTCGTGGACCGATATTGTTTAGTGGTCTCCAGGACGATTTCGCGATAGTGGCCTTGAAAGGGATAGGAAATTAGCCTAAGCTCGTGATGCGTTGCCGTTGAGGGCCCGAGGAAGAAAGGACCGAGGTGCAGCGCGGAGACTTGGACAGACACGCGTTGGAAAAGGGCGAAGAGGTCGCGAGGACACTCTTCAGGCTCCAGACAAGATGAGGAACTATGTTTTAGCTAAAAGGTGCTGGTTAATTCTTTTGATCGCCGGAGCTGGACTCGTGGATGCTTTTGAGGTTAGTGATGCCATTCATTTTTTACAGTATTCTTTAGGGAGAAATAATTATCTTGAATTTTTTTTTCATATAAAATAAATTTAGACCGAATCATTGAAACATTATAAAATTTATATTCATTGGTTCCACGATTAAAACAATGATTTTTAATCATCGTAACATAATTTTTATGTAGATGTGTCGATTATAAATGAGTTAATTATTTTAAGATTTATTGCATTTGGATAAAGTAGACACTATATCTACGAGAAAACACGAATTAATTATTGGATAATTTTGTAAACCAAAGCGACAACTCATTGAATTTTTCACATTTTCCTAGACGTTTAAATTCATTACTCGGAGATTAATTGACTCTAACTAAATCTGCTCCGATCCTTTTGGACGGTAACTACTAATAAAATCACGAATATGTCATAAGTATAGTTAGACGGCATCAGTCTTCGTATTTTTTAAATTTAACAAAACATTAAGTAGGATTACAATATTTATAGACATCGGAAGTGACCCAAATCTTGAAGATGAGACGTTTAAAAATGAATTAATTCGTGTGTTTAGCTCGGGATTTCAAAGTAATTACTGGGAAACCAATTGGAGTTTCGAAATCAGATTCCTATCAAACATTGCTTAGTTCTTCATTTTTATCGTTATTATGATTATTAACAGATCGAATATATTAATGACGTCACTGCACTCGTGTCACGCTAAAGCCAATAACCGTTTCAAATGTTATTGGTTTCTAAACAAGTGTTACGTAACAAGACGTATACGCTGCTACGTAAAAAAGGAATTGAATTATTCAATAGAATGCGAATACAGTAATGTTTCGTGAAAATTGTTGACCCATAGAGGGTTAAGGAAGAGCTTAAGTAGCCACGCGCCAATTGGCACGAACAGTGGGTTGAACAGGTTTTTTTGGCAACGACCAAGTGGCCAGCAAAGTTCATTCAACGAGGAATGCGATTATTCGTGGCGTGTGTTCCGCTGTTAGGTGAACTGATAAGAATCTCAGCATTCTTCTTAGTCTGGTTTCTCTTATCGCACCGAACTAAACCATGATAGGTTCACTGGATGAAGTAGTTGCCAAACGACCATAAGTTTCATCGCGTGTCTTCGATAACCAATAAAAAAACGTTTTTACCCAGATTTCTCGTCTTCGGTACATTTAGTTGAGCCTTGTTTTTGTTAGAAATTGTTTGATCGGCTAAATTGGGAACAGTATTAGTCAAGTATCTAGAAGTCAAATGTAATTAGAAAAGGAGCAAACAAGTCGTTCGGGAACCTCTTCTTCTAGTAGAAGAACCTTGAGAAACTTTTTATAGTAGGATATTGCCTAATCGAATTAATACAAATCTCGCATGTATTGAACGTTGAATTCGTCACGATATAAATAAAAGGTATTAAATTTTAATTAAACGATGTATGTGTATAGGTAAAACATAAATGAAAAAATACAATTACATTTTACTAGCGTGAAAAGAAGATTCAATTTACAGATTTTTCATACTTTTTACCGCGAGGGACCGAAAAAACACGGTCGAAAACTTTCTAATAAACGTTGAGCTCGTCGAGGATACAGCAAACATGAATTTTTACCTTATTTTTTGGCCAGACAATTGTATTCCATCTGTTATTTCACGTTACTCTAATAATGCAGATCTAACCCAGATTTAACGCACGTCTATTCAACACTTTACTGTATTAATTTATGGACCAAAGATGCTACAGGTTGTCTGTGCGATTGATAAAATAATTTATTTTACTAATTTACTTTACTGGAATAAATTTCATTGATAGCTCTTAATTATTTATTTGTGTTCTAAACTCTTGAATTACTAAACGTACTCTTTTAAATCTACGTATGTGCTCTAACAATGGTCCGCCTAGCGCATTAAAAAAAAAAAAAAAAAACCATAACAGAACGATTCGACGGTCCGATTACACGCATGAGTGGCAAAACTATTATCCACTAGGATTTTCTTCGTCGTCGGAGGCATTCAAAATTGCATCGTCGCGGGTGACTCACCCGGCCAATAAAATTCAGAAAGGAAACGACCGAGAGCGACGTGATCAACAAGTACATATGTCGATTCGTGTTCCCAAAATTACTATTCGCAACGTGGCAAAGGTTTGTTTCGATACTTGCTCGAATAATTCACCGGTCGATTATATTCCGATCACATCGAGAACTTTGCCGAAGTCGATAGCAGGAACAAGGAGGCACGGGGTTAGCGTTGTCAGCTCTGGAAAC